CAAGGCAGCGGTGTTTGGCGGGAAATGCAAATGCATTACCATTTCTACGGAACAAGTCGCCACATGTTCCAACCCCCAACCTGGAGGGCCAGGAGACTGTGTTCGTCAGACCTCTAACCATTGACTAACCTGGTATGAGAGACTCTGTGAGTGTCTCGAGACACTCTCCAGTATAGCTCAACGGATCGCTGAGATGCTCAAACCGTCACACCACGGTAAGGTCCAGTCTCTTCGTGACGGAGTTGTTAGAACGCGAATTTACTGACCGGAAGGTCCGTGGTTCTAACCTGACCTCTGCCTCTTGACTTCCCCTGTCTAAGCCTGGGCAACCTGGCAGTATCCCTTTCCTTCGTGCTTCCTTCAGGTGGTGGCTAGGCACCGGAAGGGTGCTACAGCTGAACGAATGATTTTTTTCGGCTAGTTCACCAGGGCTTCTCTGCCTTCTTTGAATGGGGGCTGGATACAGACCGTCCGGTCCTGGTGCTTTCTCATCCTTCACTAAGGATATTTCGTACTTTATTTCTTCTCCCGACGTGCAATTAAGGTTTACATTCCATCCGCCGGTATGCACTATCTCCGGAGCCTGTATTGCGAGAGACCAGCTAAGTAATGAAAAACACTAGTCATTGAGCTGTAACACCCTTCCGGTGTCTAGCTGCCGTGCCACCGGAAGAAAACACTAGGGATGGGATACTTCCAAGTTGGCCAACTCTGGACGGGGAAAGTCGAGAGGCAGAGATAGGATTCGAATCACGGAGCTTCCGGTCAGTAAATTCGCACTCTAACTACCGAGCTATCTATACCCCCAAGGCCAGTCGATCGTATCAACTGATATAAGAGACGGCTACTTCTGGTAGCAAAAGCCTTTCTCTTTTGAGCTTTTGATGTCCAGAGCTCTCGGTCTTTGGGCTCCACTATTTGGTGTTTGGTGGATTTGCGTGCGGCGTCGTCCTCGTTGGCTTCCTGCATCAGTCAGGACTAGCGATCCCGACGATACCCAGTGATCGTTCAACGGTATCGGTGAAGTCGGATGGACAGAACTGGACGCCACCAGGATATCCGCCTTCATATTTTGCCACGCTTCATTCACATGCTCGCTACCAGCACAGTCATGGTTTGCTGTGAAGAGTCGTTTGGGTAGCTCAGATCGGTAGTTTTCAGCTATGTTAGTTCATCAAAGATGTTGGTTTGGCATGCTTCTTAATGACTTGCCATAGCCTGAAGGGAAACGAATTGTCAAGCACGCACGTAGCATGGAGAGATCGGATTGAACTTGTATGCCCCATAAGGAATGACGGTCTTGAATTGTGGGTCTCCACTGGTGACTGCTGGACAATTGATCCAACTGCTTCCACGGTTGATTTAAAGTTGGTGGCTGCCAGGTTAAGCGACGCAAACTTGTATGACGAAAGTTCGTACCAGCTAGGAACAACTAATGGTCAGCAAACCGCTGCAGTGATGCATCAGTGTCAAAATTAATATTGCTGTCTCTGATGATGATGAAACAACTGAAGGAGTCGCTCCCCATCGTCTGTGCGACAAGCGTTGTTTCCTAATCAACGACCCGGATGTGATTCCAAGGAGCTCAGGCGACCAACTTGGGCATTCATATCATCATCAAGGATCAATGCTTCCTGCTCGATGAATGAGCCCATAAAACTTTCGATAGAAAATACCCCTGTCAGCGTCAGAACTGGCTCAGTGGTTAGAGAACGAATTCACTGACCGGAAGGTCCGTGGTTCGAATCTGACCTCTGCCTGTTGACTTTCCCTGCCTAGGCTTGGGCACCCTGACAGTATACCAGCTCTCGTGCTTCCTCCGGGTGGCATGGCAGTTAGACACCGAACGGGTGTTGCAGCTGAACGATTATCCTTCTTAACAGAACTGCAGTCCTTTGCGACATACGCGGACACTACAAGGAGTAACCTTTTTTATGTCAAGAGGCATCGAGCTTAATTGAGCCGGATAACTGGACGATGCAAATACGACTGTTCACTGGGATCCAATCCAGCAGAGCGCGTTCAGCTCTGGAGCTGAGCACAACTCCCACAACATTTATTCCACGAGTTATCGCCTGTGGATCACCAGAAACACGGGGAAAGAAGCGTGAATGAGCTGATCTCGTCCTTGGCGTTCTAAGACGTATAACCACGCTTGAGTCTTGCATGCGGATTTCAGAGATACGACATACATCAACTTTAAGGGATTATAAGCTATCAGATGCTGCTCGCCACTATGCCTGGGAGCTCTACGGAATCAAGTAGTCTGCGGTAATTGGCGCGCCGAGCTTATGAGCTAAATAGCTCTACCGAAATTTATCCTCATCAAACGTTTCTACCAATTCTTTCGTACCGGACGAATACCATTGCTGTCAGGGGACTATAAGCCGAAAAAAGTATATACTGGGGTACAGTAACAGTAGGCTGGGTTGTTATACCAACCAATCATGATGATCTCATTGTTGGGAATCACTCTCACTAGGGGGCGAGATGGACCAAGTGGTTAGAAGGCGAATTTACTGGTCCGTGGTTCGAACCCGACCTCTGCCTCTCGACTTCCCCTGTCTAGGCTTGGGCGACCTGGCAGTATCCCAGCCCTCCTGCCTCCTTCGCGTGGCATGGCAGCTAGGCACCGAAAAAGGTGCTACAGCTGAACGATTTTTTTACTAGCCGACCTGTCGAATCAATCGGAGTTCACCTAACTTTTCCATTTGTGGGCTATTCTTCAATGGATATTAATTTCGTTTTTTTACACAGATATTTTCTGTGTACCAGCTACTCGACCATTTTGATATTTGAATTTCAGCTGGAAGCCGTGTAATTCCCAGCCGACCGTTTCATTTCAACCTACATTATGACGGTCCAATACAGCCAGTTGGTTTTAACGGGTGGTCCAGGTGTTTTCTTCCGTCTGCTGCTAAAGTAAAGTTTAGTGAACTCATCAAACTCCCTTTTAGATGGAGAGGTTGTGTTTTCAAGTTGATTTATGTTGACATATTGGTCTTTCTCGGTTTATATTTCTCTATCAGTCTCATATACCGATTTGCTCTCACAGAGCCACTACAAAGGTGAATATGCGACATATGATTGATCGGTTTCCAGGAATTTCGAAAGTCTCATTCTTTTCATCAATCGTTTCCAAGCCATGATTCCCGTTGCTTTCATTCTTGGCTTTTACGTGGCACTGATATTCGCCCGGTTCTGGCACCAGTTTATGGTGATTCCTTGGGTGTTGAAAATAGCAATTGGTCTGACTGCACATCTCCCTGGATCGGATGAACGTCCGCGTCTGCTGCGCAGAACTTGTATGCGGTACCTCATGGGAAGCCTTATTCTGACATGCACTCGCGTGAACCTCGTAGCCAAGAGACGCTTTCCCAATCTCGACGCCTTTGTCACCGCAGGTGAGCGTGTAGAACAATGTGAAGTGATACAATACGCGACTGATCACGAACTCAGTCCCTGTTTATTTCACTTTATGTTGCTGACGTCTGCAACCTAAGACTCTTCCCAACTTGAATTTCACCGTGCTCTTTCTAAAACATTAAGGCGGGCACCACAGAGACCTCACATTCATCTTGAACCGGTTGCCAAATCCCATTACATGCACTTTGTACTGACAGAGTTTTAGTGATGGAACTGACCTCGTTTTATGAGTCAGGATACAGTAACATACATAAAAAACGCTTCTGCGTATATTAAAATGTTTTCGCTGTAGAGGGACGTGGTCTAGCTTTTGACCAATCGACTTCTGGTTGTTTTCGGGGATTTTCAACAACGCTTACCAACATAGACTACTTATTCGGACCCAGAGGAGCGATAGCTTCAGCTAATCAGTACTAAGATCAGTAAATAAGTGAAAAGTTTCCTGTTGAACGATCCACAATCTTAGTATTCCTGGATTTCCAAGACACATTCGGCTATTGACTGACGTGTTCTTCCTAACAGGCTTGCTCAGTAAGGAATTCCTCCAAAGTTTTTGTCAATGTGACAAATTCTTTGTGGGCGGGTGCAAGTATACGAAGAGTTCCGAAAGCTTTCATTCTAAACGTGACGTCTGACAAACAAACCCATCCATTCCTATTCAGTTCAATCGATGAAGTAGCGAGAATGCTAGAAATTCTTCAAAAGTCTGGCGTTCGATTAGCTGCTGACCATAAGGTTGTCGGTCATAGTATGCGAACAGTATCGTCCCCGATGTCCTCCGTGCATTCAACTCAAAGTAGCTACTTCTCCCAGATGTTCGCGTTAATGGAGTACCATAACCGGTACATATGGAAGCATGAAAACTCAGAACCCACTTTTGCTCATGGGTGCAGTAGGCAGCATAGCATATCGTTTGGTAGCATTTCTCTTACACGGTCCGGGCGACTGTTAAATTGTTGGCATGACCACCGGATAGTACATTCAGTTATCAAAGGGTGGAAAATGATAATCACTGCGCGAGGCTTACTCTGCATGCATGCTTCTGAGTGGAGTATATACAGCTTATGTGCTTGCTATCAGCGAATTACTCAGTTACCCTTTACAACTCCTGTTTGATGATGATTTCACCATTTATGCCGCTCGAGGCTGAAATACTTTTTGATTTCAGAGATGTTTTATATCTTTTGTCTGACCACCGTGAAAAGACAGGTATTCGCTGCTCGAAACAGCTCAGGATAACTCAGTGGTTAGGGTACGCTTTTGTTACCTGGAAAGTTTGAGCCCATCATCAGCGTCTCGACCGCTTCTGTCCAGGTTTGGGCAACCTGGTGGTGGCTCAGCCCTCGTGCTTCTTTCGAGTGGCATCGCAGCTAGGCATTAAAATGTTACGGGTGAGCGAATATTACTATTATTTTTAGGCATTTGCTGCTCATCTTCAGTTCGATATTGTTGATGTGCTAAAGCGACCAAACTCCTTTCCTTTGTTTCCGTTTAGCAGGAGTTTCTCCTGCTTTGAACGATTCCCGCGAGTGCTGCAAAAGGAGGTATGACGAATTTCCACTAAGTATATGTCAGAACATCCATTGCGAGAGCACTACTTTATTTCGAGCAAGGTAGCTTTCCTTCGACTTCATTCGTGATAAGCTACTGAAGTATCGTAGTCTTTCTAAGGTTTTCCCCATACGAGTGCGATGTGGTATCGTGGCAAATAAAGGCATATAAACCGTGCTCCCATAAATTTCGGACATTCACGTGGACGCTGAAAACAACACGGGTGATTGGTTTCTCAACTACACATAATTTTCCATTTCGATTTGGGTTCCCTGAGCACTGGGAGCAGCTTCGCTTGTTGCAAATTTACGTGGGTCACTATTTCGCTGGTAAGGTGACTATTTTTCATTGTAACGTGCTCGGTTTTGTGCACACCGTAACTGCCCACAGTTATTCAGAGGATAGTGTCACTGTCGTGAAGTGCGTTGTATCACAGTTGGTTCATCCAGCGTTGTATGCCTCGATTTTCCAGGGGTGTTTACGGAGGAGGAGACGAAGTTGCTAGATGGCATGGAGCTTCATTTCCAGCCGTTTGCACCGATCATCTGGACTACCTCTCTTATCACTCTCGCAGAAAAGGAAAAAATCATTACCAATGAACATGCCCTCGTTTTTCTAATTGCGGTGAGTCCTGTACCTCTTTTGCGCGAAGTATTTCGAATGCCGTTCTCTTTGCTTTAACTTGAGTTGGATAACGCCTAATCGGATTAGAATTAGTTTCAAGTCAGTATTTTCTCACCCGTTTCAGACTTCACTAACGTTATTTCAACATTTCAACGTTATTTGAGCATGCTGAATCTACAAGCAACCTAACTGAAATGTCCAGATGGATGGAGATGTATCCTTAGCGTAATCAGGATTTCATCCGAGGTGGTTGCTAGATTTGTTGCATCTCACACACAGGAGTACTCTGTTTTGTCCTCGCCAGGCTTTGATGTTTTGCATTTTAGAATTCTGCGTTTAGATGAATCACTAGTTTGTCGTTGCTGTTTGGTGCATGTTTTCCAATTCGTTCTACCTAGTACTGATCCGACGCTGACAGTAAATTTTTCCGTGTCCGTTGATATTAATTGAGTCTAAGAACTATAATCAGTCTGATTAGTTTTGGGGTTTTGCGGGATGGGTATTTTGTTCAAAGTCACGCCACTCTCGTTTGAACGGTCGTCCTCCTGTTCTGGCGTAATTATTCCGGTGAGTCCACACCAAAGGGAAGCACTGGACTCGAGTCTCGCTCTTATTAGAACTCAGTGGTGCATATCCGATGGCCGTGCCAGGATTTGAACCTATGGACAGAATACCTATCCCACAAAACCCAAAAACTGCAACCAAAAAGTTACCCAGCGAGTTTCAAGCGTGTGCCACGCTACCTGACTGGGAAGTCCTGACTGGCTGGTCAATCGATCGTCACAACCAGGACAGTTACTGGGTCGTCGTTCGATGATTCGGGCACACCAATCCCATCGCTCAAGTGTGAACACGTTCGCCTGTGGAAATTCAGAAGCGTCCAACGTGTGTTGGTGGAGCAGTGATCACACGCTCGCCTCGCATGTCAGATGTCCGGGGCTCAAATCCCGGCACGGCCATTGGATATGCACTGCTGATGAGCTCTAATAAGGGCGAAACTCGAGTCCAGTGCTTCCCTTTGGTGTGGACTCACCGAAATAATTACACAAGAACAGCAGAATGACCGTTCAAGTCAATCTGATCAAAGCGTAACGATACACCTCCTCGAATGGACTGGAAAACAACCAGATTTAGTCGTCTTTCGCAGGCATACGACTGTATGCATCGTTTGCATCGTTGTGAGAAGAAGGGTTAGGTGGAACGAAAATGTACCTCGTAAGATAAACCGATTACGAAGACTGGCGTATTAATTGATACAGTGATCCCCTGTGAGAAGCAGCCTGAAACTACTGGCCAAAGCATAATGTTTCCGATTCCTCTGTGTCCATTTGATGAGATTCTACGTTGACAGGTGTGCTCATGTGGCCGAGTTTTGCGGGACTCCACTACATTGTGCTGTAAACTCCCGGCAAAATCTCCAAGCCATTGGCTTCCTAATTATCATCTGCGATGGCCAATGACTAGTCAGATTAAATCTTGTTGCTATTCACTAGCAGCGTAATGGTTGGCTGAAAAAGTCAGCAGTTGGTGAAAGCAGAATTCAGGTCTAATTGTAACTCCTCAGCTGTACGGATCGGTCGATGAGTGCACGATCGTGCTGGAAATGGCTTGGAACTCTGCGGCTCTCTACGTCCCTGCAGTGAGTCTCAGTGGGGATGAAAGTGTTTGTGTGCCATAGCTTCTATGGAACAAGTTTAAATAGTCGTTCTATCTTGAGATGGCTCAGTGGTTAAGGTGAGAAATGACAAGAAGGTTCGTAATTTGAATTTGGCTGCTTCTGTCCAGGCTAGGGCAACCTGGCACTATCGCAGTCCCCATGTTTCCTTTGTGTGGCGTGACAGCTGTACAACGGAAGGGTTTTACGGTTGAACGAGTTCTCAATCTAAAGACGATGCTCTCCAAAATCATCATGTCTTATCTAATATAGACAAGTCCGATAAGCCCTTTGCTACCAGTTATGTCGTCTAGAGTCAAAAGCTTTGATCTTCAGTCAGATTGTCAGGGCCGGTGACGTTGCCGCCTTTCCGACTCAATACTTTACATATCTACTGACTTTAATTGCCCTGTGGTGCTGTGATTCCAGTAGAACCTTTCTAGCTCACTTTTTTGCTGTAATGTAATTCAGGCTTTTCTGTATCTGAAACTGAACTTTTTCACTGGAACTAGTGTCTGAGTCCTCGATTGGTACTATTTCATTTGTCCATAAAATTCCTTGTAACGCGAAGCTAAAAACACTGATTTGACAGGCCCTTGCGACCACCAAAATACTTATTCTCGATATCCACCACTGAAATATTCAGTACTTTAAAAGCCGGAAGACAGGAAAGTGGCGTGTTGTTATGCGGCAGCAATAGCACACTCCGGAGACTGTGCAATTACTTGAGCCTTCACGTACAGGACACCCTTAAAGCGAAGCGAACGACTCAGAACCTGGTGTTGTGTCAACAAAACTTAGTCAGTCATATGAAGAGGTCGCGCTCATGCGAATGTGAGGGCCAACCTCACCTTTGGTTCTCGCATTTGTGTATTTCGCTCAAAAATAGACTACAGTAAACAAGTTCGACCCAGGAAAGTCTTTCTCTTCTTCGAACATTTTCCTCTCCAAAGGAGGGTCCATCAAGAAGAGAGGATCACCTTGGCACCGGGGGTGGACTCACTTTGGAGTTATTATTAGTCTAATATCAGTGCACTAAGTTGTCGAAGTTTATGAAGGAATTATTTCAGAGAGGTTGGTAAGCAATCGGTGGATTTAATTCTGACCAGCGTTTCGCCTTTGCCCCGAAAGCTTCGTCACGCCAAGTGAATAATTTATCAGGTTTGTCAAGTTTCAAGGCAAATGGAGAATCGATCAATGGGATTTCTTACGATTGGCCGACCTCGTCAGTGCTGCTTGTCAGTCACAAGTTTTTGTTTGTTGGTTAGTGTGGTTGACTTACGACATATAGATTAGAGGAGAATTATCATCAAATTAGGTCGAGATTTTGTGGCCTTGCTCTTCCGTTCTAGGAGAATTTAATGTAATGTTTCTCTTGGATGTTCACGAATTTTGTTGGTCTGTGTATGTTAAGGGGCGCTCGAATAACTGGTTTGGGGATTGGGGGATTAAGCGGTTTCGTACTTCAGACCCAGAACATTTCATTGATGACCGGGCCGCCCCGTGCCATCCGGACTGATCCGCTCTCCACACGCTTGCCAGTTCTACACCCTCCATTCTGTTCGAAACCAGGACGCTTGGCGATTTCCACCGCCATGAAAACCAGTCACTGGTGTGAATCTTAGTCCTTATCTCAATACCTCCAAATTCCCCAAACCTATTCTGTATTCAGTGAGCTTCTGGACATCGCCGCTTCTTTAATTACCGACTGATATTCATCCACATTTCTTGGTAGTCTGTTTATGGACTGTCTGTGCTCACCTACTCTGATGTGTAATACAGTGTAGATTTTCCCTTCTGAAGGGCTACTCTAATGTTAGCCGTATTCAACCACTTCTAATAACTTCATATGTCTCTGTTTTGTATGGGATAGCTGCTGTTCGGGTCATGACTTTGGGGCCAACACCTTCTTAGTTTCTGCTTACTTAAACCTACTGAGTATTCGTTGTCGGTAAACCTGGTAACTTATTCACTAGGCGTGACGGAGCTTTTAGATCAGAAATAATGCCACCTATTATTTAACGATGACAACCAGTCGGTCCCTGATAGCCTTCATTTGTTTTAGAACTTTGTAAGAAGGTTCTCAGGCTAATCGTTGTTTTCTGCCTCAATTCCAATACAAGTTTCAATATTTTGCAAATCGCGTGGATTTCCGTGCCTTCGCCAGAAGTTGTTGCTGTCGTACTCCTCGGTCACTCGATGAGTCTAATAGTTTTACCCAGCGTTTGTGAGTAGTGCTTGCTAACATCCCATTTTCCACGGCCGACTAGTTGTAATCTCCATTCATTTACAAATTTTTCTTTGTAAGAATCATGTACTCTCAAATGTAAGTCGATCTATAGTAGGACCTACCTCACTCTAGTATCTCGTCCCGTCGTAAATGTAGATGTACCCAAATTAACACGCCCGATGCTGTACTCGGAACACAAGCCTTAGTTCTCCAAGAGTGGGTTCCAATATGAACCTTACCATACGGTAGCAAACCAGGAGTTGTACCAGTTTCTAGCCAGAGCTGGAAGGTCAGTCACATGTATCAATGCATGTATCGGCGTTTCACTTTCCGGAACCAGCACTTAATAAAAAGCGTCGAAAAAGTAGTGTTGGGAGGCTGAAACAAGTTTGCTGTTGTCCATTGCAATTTGACCTAAAGCTTAGCACTAATCACTTATTGAAAGCATCCATCTAGTTTTGCCTTTGAGATCATCGTTCAGTTAGGTTTAGACCAGACTGAACGTTATGCGTGCATTTCCTTCACGACTATCATCATCTTTTAAGATCGCTATATGGTCCTTGAATCAGAGATCTTTCGTGTTTTTTGGCCGGTCAGCTTCATGATCCTTCAGTGGGGAGATAGAAATTGTCGGTTCTTCGGAGCTGGGGTGACCTCAGGAATGGGAAATTTCGATAGAAATCAGGCGAGGAACGCCTGCCGTGGATTGTCATCACCAGTAGTCCATATAAGTTTTACACATCACTAGCTAGCCACTGGTATAGAGTGAATAGCTAGTCCTTTGAAGCAAAACAATGTGCAGTTTTCTTATCAACAGACAAGCACGATCACGAAGTGTTATAGAAGGAGAAACTAGATTAATTTACTGTTTCCCAACTGTTCTGCTTATCGGTGGAGGGGCAAGTTTCTTATATGTTCGGTTTAGCCGTGATGGGCCCGCTTTCTTGATATACTTTTGCGTTGTGTTTGAGAATTGTTAAGAGCACCGAATTATGGCTACCGTTGAGGAACCAGCAAACAGGGCAATCGTATGCGTTGTGGCTAACTATGCAAGGCCTGAATCCGTGGTACCTGGTCTTGTAATTGTTCTGAAATAGACGGATGTCGAAAAGCGAATGAATGCTCGCCTCTTATGTGAAAGCTATGAGGGTTCATTTTGGACAGACGTGATTATCCCTGAAAGTAATGGTTGAAAAACAGGACAGATGCTACGGAGCGATGTTGTACAGGGCTTATCTTGGTGTCCTTGCGACGTTTCTAGTCTTGGCTTCCTCAACAGTAAACGGACTTGTTGAAATGTGCAACTCAACCCATTGAATTGCTGTATACCCTTGTCTTGACGTACATTTTAGGAGGTGAACAATCTCCGTCAGGGGCTACTCAACGTGTTCTTCATGGATTATGTTTGTGTTCCTTTGGTCTACACGCAGGTAAGCAGATATCTTGTCTGTTCCATATGTCTTCTATCCGATATCCCCATGTGGATATCAGTTTCCAGAACGCCACGTCTTATTAATGAGTAAACCGTCATTGATCAGCAATCCGCGTCCTGTGACTAGCTGATTTTGACACATGCACATATCAGAAATAATTACTTATCTCGGCGTACGGTTTTTAGTTGATTTGCACTGAATCAACCTTCTCGTTCATCTAACTTAGTTGCTTACCACACTGTCTAACAGGATGTTGTCTTGATACTGTTGACTGTCTTCTCCCAGCAGAAGGTGAATAGCGCTCAGCAAAACCCAATATGCGTTTAAATCACCTATTGAGTTGCATTAGTGTCCATGTTGACGGAGAGGATAGTGATGATGATGCAATCGCTGTCTTCTATATAAGTGATTTCGAGGTAGCTCAGTAGTTTAGTCGTGAACTTACGGACCAGACAATGCTAGGTTCGAACCCAACCTCATCATGACCGCTCTTGGCTAGGTTTGGACAACCTAGAAGTTTCTCAGACCTCATGCTTCCCTCGGGTCTCGCGACACTAAAACGTTTTACAGCTGAACGATTTTCAGTCGCCATATAACAGGATTGTAAAGACATCGCGTACACTGCCTAACAAAGAACTAGCTGCACTTTCTCTGTCACAGGCATGTGCATCTCGTAAGACTGGAGTCAGTGGTCATTCTTTCTGCCTTGTCATTTAGTCCCACTGAATATTATCTGCTTGGAAGTTTTCTCATTCCCTCACCGCAAAACAGGTTGTGACGCTTTCAGTCTACTCATATTTGATTGCGTCGCTAATCGGAAGACAGTATATCATGACCAGTTCCACAATGCGCGATCAGAACAACCACGATTTCTACTTCCCTTTTTTCACCACCCTTGAACTGATCATCTACGTTGGATGGCTCAAGGTTAGTGTTTCTGTTTGTAAATTTATGACAATTGCTGTGTACACTCTCCCTACCGCTGTTGTGTGACTCGTCATCTGATTGGCCAGCCCCCCCCTCCCACTTAGCAATTGAAATAGCAACGTATGCTTGTAGTACGGTTAGCCTCACCTATCTTTGATCGTCGCGTGTATTCAGATAGATTTTCTTCAGTGTTATTTTTGTATCTCCCATGGCTCAGTGGTTAGAGCGCGAACTTACTGATCGGAAGGTTCGTGGTTCGAACCCTACCAATGCCTCTCGACTACCTCTGTCTAGGCTTGAGCGACCTGACAGTATCCCAGCCTTCGTGCTTCCGTCAGTTGGCATGGCAGTTAGGCACCGAAAGGGTGCTGCAGCTGAATGATGAGTGATATTCGATACCACACCAAGGGTTTCTAGTTTGGCCTCAGTGCATTTTCCCTGTCTGTGAGAAGCATGTTTCTTATGCACCTGAACTGTTCCTAACACCGGGGCATAACTTATGGAGGTTTGGGTTGAAAGAAGTCAGAATCTTATAGGGGTATGAAACCTTTTTCTTAGCATAACACAATGCTTACAAGTTATAACAGTCCAGTACCGGTTTTTCTCTTCTTGGGACTCATCCCTCAAAGGGTAGTCCCCTTACGATCTATATCTTTTGATATATAGTACGCAATTAGCGAACTATACTCATTTGCACATCAGGTTACTGTTAATGGGAGACTCGACTGAATTCCAGATGTACCATTCTCTTCCGGTCATCGTAAGCTTATGGCTAGATTTTACGAACAAAGGAAAATGGTAGATGAATGCGGTGTCAGTAGTCCAAAAACTTTTTTGGTCTCTGTGAGATTGCATACGTTTTCCTCCAATTTGTGCTAACTGTTTGACCTCCACCGATAGTTCCTGGTAGAAGCATTTCTGGGCGTGAACCGTCTTCCTGTGTACCACAGGCCCTCAGTCGGTGACTTCTTATTCTTTTCTAGCAGTATATACAGTAACGGTGGGTAGTAAAGTTTTCATTCATTGGTGGTTGATCAGGTGGCCGTTGACCTGTTCACAGAGCTTGGCGAACGTTTTGTTATCAAACGAGTTAACATCATCAGTCCGCAATTTCTCTGTTATTGACTCTGAGTTAGTACACACAACATTCATTTTTGAAACAAAATTTGCTTAACTATTACTTTCACATCGAAATGGACCTTTTGAGGCCAGAAGGGTTGATGGGTCTTCTGTGTGCTTGTCCTTGTACTGAACTGGTTGCACACAGGACTATAGAGGCTGAGGATCTTTGATACCGTCCAAGTGGCTCACAGGTCGAGGCTCGATCTTTTGATGAAAGGGGTCCTTGGTTGTAGTCCTACCAACCAATCCTCGATTATTTCCTTTCAGTTATATTGTACAGTTACCGGGGGGATGGACTCAAATGACGACAGGCATCCTGCAATAAGTCCGAACAGCAAGAATACAAAATAATTTCTCACCGTATCTGATAAGTTTTGTTCCAGCTGCTACAGTTTCGGTCACCAGGAAATTAGAGAGCTAGGGAGATACACCCAAACGTTCCAAGCGATGCCTTGGTGCATGAGCGTCAGTAACTGCGTTTGAGCATATCCTGCCAGTTTTACTAACCCCTAATGAGTTGGATCCCAGATTCCCAAACCCGGGAGGCGACAGTTGTCAACCCAACTGAGTTTACTGGTTAGTACTTCCATACTTCGTCGCCAGATCATGGACTTTCCACTTCTCGGCCGCTTTCACTTAGTACGGAACTAAGGAAAAAGAGTTCTGTGGAGCAGACGGCCCTATGGCTTGCGAAGTACGTGTCTTAACAGCGTGAGTAGTTCCTCCATCACGGGGATTTAATCTGGCTTACCTCGGAATTGCTTCCACCAGATCCGGCGAATGCTTGGGGACAATTGCGGTAGGAACACTGTGAGTGTTCCTACCTTCTGTGCGCATAGAGCCACGTTTATGATCCAAATGTCAGTATGGATCGCACCATCGTAGTATGTACTCTGCTTTTGCAGAAATCGTCACATTGGCGCCGTAGGTGTCGGCGGTTGGCACGAGCTATCCAGCCCTTCTCCCGTTTTTACCCAAACTTCTTCAGTTTCACTAAAGCCTTGTTTTCAACCCTATTTACCGCGAGCCCATGGAATGAGTGTTCCACCATGGTAAGTTATTGGCCAGTCCCGTTTGGGGAAATACAGTGTACTCTTCTGTCATACCACAAGCTTTGAGAGGTACATGAAGGCATAGTTACACCCTGAATCGATTGTTGTCGAGTAGCGTAGCAAACAGCCTGCTCAAGCACTGGACTGAACAGAAGACCCCAAGTGCATACCACTGGAATCCGTGTCCCTATGTCACCGCCCTCTAGGGATCCACCAAGTTATGGAGGCATCACGGTTGGCTGGGTTTCCATTGGTCATTCGGAGAAATGTCGAATATGTCTGCCCGTTTATATCAGCTCTCGGTGCTCTTGGGACCAGCTCGTTCTCATGTCGGAGTTCTCGGGGAATTTCCCTCTCTTGTAAATAAGAAGCCATAGATCAGAAAACTTTGACCTTCAACACGAATATTACGACCAGTAGTAATGAGAACAACTACGGTGGGGTCTCTTGTGGGCTTAGTTACTCTGCCGCTTGGAAGCGGTCTTGTTCGTTTGGGAGGTTACTGCTGAAACAATTTATATGGGATTGTTTGAACCGAGTTCACACAGTTATAATTCGGTCGTGTACAGATTCATTCTACCAGTAGTAAGCCGCATGTTTTCAGCCTTCCCTTCTTATTAGGTTCTACCAAGCTTCTAAAATCGAGTTTGTCATTTCTTCTTCCAGGTTGCTGAGACTTTGGTTAATCCAATGGGCGAGGATGACGAGGATATCGATATCAATGAAGTTATTGATTTCAACTGGAAGGTAAATTTTCGCTTAGAGCATTCAGACTTCACCTTGACGCTTCTTTTCGACAGGCAGTTTACAGGATTTCAAATCTATGGTCAATCAGGATTAGCCACTAGTGTTTCTGTGCACAAACCGACAGTTGTTTAGTTTGCTTACATATCCACGCAACCCCCACACCCAGTCACTACATCACACGTGCTGTTTGTCTTTCTTGCAGTCGGTTTCTATAACTGCTGCTGGAAATAGTAGGCGTGTACAACTACGTTGTCGGGGTATCGGACTTGACCTCTATCGCATTACGCTTAGCCTGAGTTAAGGAAACATGAACGGAATGCTGGTGCCAACACTGACCCACCTACGCTGCTTCCACGCTCGAAGAAACCTGCCCATATATCCCAATTCGTGTCACTCGAACACGTGAGAAAATTTGTGCGATATACAAACTGAAGAGTCTGTTGCCTTTACACTACCCAGTGTCTCCGTTATTTAATGATCATAGTTCATTTGGAGGCTCCTGTTCGTTTCGTGTGCTGTATTTTTGCTGTGTTGACAGCATCTGACAGATCCAGTGTCTGGTCTACATCCAGTGTAAACACAACTTATAAGTGACGTTGTATTTTCTTCCTTTTCTAAATCGTTCATCTGTTCCGACACCATGTTTGCACCGTAGGACCCGACACGATCCTTCCCACTTCCGATGCCCCTAACCTTCATTCAATCCGGCTTCCTGTTTGTTTTACGTGAATGACGAACCCACTTGTTGCACCTAGAAATGGGCGTTTCCCTCTATTTTATTCCCACTGAATGGTCACGCAGGTGGTAGTAGGGAGCTCTTCAGATCGGGCGAGATGGTAGCTACATGTACCCATTTGTAGAACCCAGGATTCCTTTTTCTTAACCTGCAGGTTATTGCCCCACCTGTATGCAGTTGTTTTATTGATAATGATAATGACGACTGAAATGTTATTAGTTTCCGCCTCGCCTTCGGTTTTCTATGTGCTTGGGTTTTCGTGTGTCACAGAGGACGCACCTAGGTCCATAAGAAACCAAAACGAATTGTACAAAAAGTGGAAATATGCGGTTGCTGAATCCCATTCGTTCACTAAAATACTGCATTTGAAGACTCTAGTCAGTTCCCATCATATCAAGTAGTCGTGTGCGGTGCACGGTGCTGGTGGACGCGACTTGTATGTTCAAAGACTTTCCGTATGCGATTGAGGACCATCTGAGCTGGACAGACTGCACAAACATCTCTTGACTTCACAGGCTTCATAGGCTTATAAGCCTAATAACAACACTCCACCGCGGCCAGCATGATGCTTCTGACCCCCTAGGATATAATAGTTTATCCAGAAGGCTCTGTATGATGTCTGACAGGCGAGTCGGAGTAATATGCATCGTTTACACACTGGAAATTGCACTGCTACAGAGCGCTTGTCCAGAGCCATTTATCACCAAGAATACGGCTTGATTCGACCGCAGAGATGCACAGCCTACGGTGTGCGACAAATTGGTTTGCATACAACCTCTTCGTGAAAGAGACAATAACCGGACCTCACCTAAGTCATTCCTCACCTCTGAACCGATTTCATCGGTCCCTGTGGTCGACCTACAACGTAAGGACAGAGGACCACATTTCGCAGTCTCATTTGTCGTCCAATCATTTGCCTTCCTGTGTGAAGTAGCTTGCATAGGCTGCACGACGTGATACTCCCCAAACGTATACGTAAACACGCTTATGCTGTTCATGTGTGGTGTGGATTTACCCTTATCTTGTTACATTTTCTCCTGAGCACACGGTACCGGATCTACACTAACAATACTTTCTGAATCACCTATCGTGTGTATATGGTAGACAGGCCATCAGGCGTCTACTCCTAGCCATGACAGAATGTCGTCATTTGGCTAAAAAAAACTCTCTTGTGTGCGGTCTAAAGAGGTTTCTGGCGTTTGTCCAGCTTCATTGGTTCACACTCACATAGAAATCTCTTGTGTGTTCATGTTACGCTCACCCATACTGAAGGGCATGCAACACAAATGGCTAATTAGTGTAACAGGAGCTCACTAAAGTGTTCAGCCGTGGTATTTGGATGGGATTCAGCAACTGTACATTTTCATTTCATATGGAACTATTTGTACCATAACTGCATATTACTCCGATGATAGTGTCTGTTTATTAACCCATCTGCTGCAACCTTGAGACCTATTCCTAGTTTGACAAGATCCCCTGCTTACTTTCTGCCAGGATGGCTTCCCCACCAGTGAGGAACTCCGTCATTTTATATCTCATAAAATGTCGTTACATCTCCCTTTTGACTGTTTTCTGATGGGATGCTGATCTTGGCTTTTATTCGCAGGAAATTTATCGGCGAGTATGGCAAAAAAAGCATTATGAAACATCCCCAATGAACGTCGTTTTTCGAAATATAATGGCTGGAAATTCAGTGGTGAAGTTTTCTGCTATGCCATTGGTGTCCGCTTTTTAACCACATAACTTGAAGTGGAAAGTCAATTATACTGACCCTAATCTAATTAGAAAAAGGGTCACCTGACGGTTGTGAAGCATCGGTGTTGAACACTGATGTCATGCTGTCGATGATGATGATGATGACACCTGACGGTTTTTCATTGGACAATCCAAGAGCCTCATCTACTTTGCTATGTAGATTATAAAACCTGAAAGTGATATTTTGTTGCCTGCCTCCCGTTTCTTACATGGCCGCATCACGCATGATGATGCTTACAAACGAACGACATGACCGAACATCTGCGGGGGGCTGTTGTGTAACACAGTCCTTTAGAACTGAGACGTTTTTGATCTCCCTAAGGGACCGTTCACCCGCTCTTCATCTCCATTGCCAATGGAACATTTCTTTTCAGGCTATTAAAAGCTTATCATCGGCAGATAGAGTAGATTTGGCTTTAGCAAGAATGGTTTATTTTATCACGCGTCGCTAAATCTGCGTCAGAATAACTACCAGTCAGAAAGTGAACCAGATCTTGTAGACTTAACTGCGTCGAATTCCAAATCAATGACAATATCTAGCTGCCCTGAGTAATTCAGTTCCACTTTTTCTCCATTATAAAATCTACTAGACGTGTCTATCTAACATGTGCCTTGATGGTTGTCAAATAGGCTCTTTTTGTCGTGGTTTTGAGCGAATTGCTTGATGTCAGTGACCCAGTCCACTGACACCTACTTTTTATCCGCGTGTGCCTGAATGAATTAATTTTTGTCGTTCATTAGCTATGCTTCTCACGGTGACAGTTATCACAAGTTCGAAACTACTTTTGACGGATACATATTGCTTTCACGTGATACTCTGCAGGCGGCCTGGTGCATTGTTGATGGAGTGAAACCCAGTCCACCAGCTGTGGTTCGTGATGCACACTGGAATCAGACGGTCGTGGAACTGCCCCATACCGAAGAGTCCAAAAACCTCCCTTGCCGGCCCTGTCGAGGCTCTGTATATGACCTAAAGTTAGTCAAGTTCCTGTGTGATTGACCACACTTCTAAAACTTGTTTTACATGGTATAATTCCAGAATTATTTTTCATCTGAATATACTGTTCAGCGATAGGATGACAGTCATCACCGGCTACCAGGATCGATTGAGCTCGAGATACAATGGTTAAGATACGAACTTACTGACCAGAAGGTCCGTCGTTTGAACCCAACCCAGACATCTCGTCTGCTCCTGTCTAGGCTCGGGCAACCGGATGGTATCGCAGCGCACGTTCTGCTACTTCGAGTGCTATGGGAGGTGCCCAAAGCGTGTTACATTTGGACGATTCAAGAAAATTTTTTTACCTAGATCGATCAACCAGTGGACGTTCAAAAACCAGAACAAAGTCACTTTCCGGTTGGCGTTTCGATTTTCATCCGCCCAAGCTAAATGGACCCTGTCAGTAGCCTGTGGCAAGATTGAGAAACGGATATGTAAAAATCGATGTCTGGGAATAGAGAGCAAACCATGCATCCACAGTACGGTGGTCCTCCGTGTTATCGTATAACTTTTAAACACCGATCACGTACCGCCTTGTTTTCCGTTGCTCATACTGCTTTCGCTTGCAATTCTTGATGCGGATAGTAAATATCAACTGTCAGTGATCAGCAGTGCTTCCCAGCATTGTTGTCGTGAAACAGAAGGGTTATATCGGGATCTGATGCGAGGTACAATCTATTCAGCGATCACTGAGTAAGGCATGTTCAGTTTGATAACAGCACTGCCGCGCGTTTATTCCACATTGGGACTCGCCAGGAGGATATTTTGGTGATTGACGGCTGACGATTACGACGTAGCAAGGGTGATCGCATTTTGCCGTATAATTGGTGTATCGTATTTAAGCCTCAAACGCTTGGTACTTCTAAGTGGAGTTGGGACTGGCCACTGGTCTACCCTCAGCTGGTCGGTTTTGCTGACGGAGTCGCCGCATTAGCTTAGTCGAGGAACCACTTGACTAATCGCTCGTGGACATAATTGGGCATTGTGGCTTAGCAGTTTTCGGCGCTCTGGTAGTAGTGCCGTGCACCGTTTTTCTTTAAGCATTCACTTCGCCAATAGTGTTATCCCAAATAAGCTCGGAATCCTATTAAGTGCCAGTCTGCAAATTCTCTCATTTTCTCCGATTAAAATCGATTGGCGCACCCTTCAGACAAACACTACAGAACATTTCTGGAAAAACATTGAGTAACGCATCGCTCACACTTGCTGGGAACCAAAGTTCGCTGAACCGAAAACTGTCGCGCACGAAACAAACCTAATTTTTTACTCTTTCGTGTGTTCTTGACCACGTACTTCAGGTTCGATGGACAAGCGTACCAACAACACAAAGGAACGTCGATGAGATCACAAATATTAGGACTAACTGCAAAGGCCGTAGTGCATCAATCGGTGCGCATTAAATAACCACGGATCGGCATGGATCCGGCATGTGGGCGACACATTTGTTATCATTGAACGAAATTCGATAGAAAACGCGCGCGAATTGCTGAGCAGTAGATTGGGAGACACCAGATTCACAACGGAACTGGCTGCGTCACTCGTTCATCATGAAGACGGGATGGCTGAAAGGTCCTTCAATTTACTAATGGACCGAACACGTGTGAACACATTGTGCCTTATGCTAACATTGAAATCAGTTACTTGCTTTATCGTGGATGGTTCCAAAAGTCACGAAGAATCGGATGGTTGCAAAATTTCAACTCATTCAAAGGGAATTTATGAAGCAAGCGGAATATTTTGGCGTGTCGCTTTTGGTGAAATCGGTTGTTTATCTTTGTTTATCATTGTAATGCAAGGTTTCGCCCAACTGAACACGACGATACGAACAGCCGGGGTGTGTGTGGCAACAGTACTTAATATACATCAACCCGGAGGGCTGAGGTCATCTGAGGTGAACCCAGAGATTGACATAGCTACGTTTTGTAATGAATGGATTGTTGATGCAGTTGCATGTGTGCAATGAATGCCCCTGTCCGTTTGCGTACTGCCGGCCGACTGAACATCCAGATGTGCCATACTGGTCGCACCTCCGAGCTATCTAACAACATTTGGTACGCTGTCTGTCTGTCGTACGTGATTATGACACGCCGCCTTTTAGCTTTTGCAGATCTCTGAGCACTTTAGAGTGTTTCCAGAAGCAGTATTTACGTCCTTTCACAGCTACACCTTACTGTTCTCTTGTTCATGCGGCGTAGAACAGCTATTGCACATTAGGCGGCTGAATATACCCATTGTAGTCATGAGAACGAAAAAGGTAGCGAACAAAGCTTGTTTTCTGTGATTGTTCATCTTGGCTAATACATCACAAATTTATATGGTAGCAGAAATCACGTGGAAAAGGTTAAGATCGGGGCTACACTTTAGAGAAATAGAAGTCAAAGGAAGGGGTTTGGGTGAGGAGTAGGTCAATGGGTCATGACGTCAATGTCAGACAGACTTGTGGGACCAGATGTTTCGTAGGCCAGTTCAAGTTCAGAGGTCGCACAAGTTTCTTTTGGATGCAAAGTTGTGACAGGTTTCGGCCAAGTGTGCTGCAATCGCGCTTGAGCCTGGTTTCTTTCCACTACCACTCAGAGATACGGGATTGTGTTCTCGTATTCTGTCCGACAAATGCCTTGTCGTACGACCAACGTATGATGCTCGGCACGAGCATACGAATGAGTACACACAAAAGCTGGTGGTAGAACGTGGTAATTTGTCTTTCAAGCAGAATCTGATAGTGGGGCTGGAGTTAAAGCTCAAACATAGATTAGCGGCCAAGTATGTCGTATCAACGGAGTTTCTAAGCCTTCTGGTGATTAGTTCAGCAACCGAGTCACCTTTGAATCCGACTACATTGATAAAATGACTACCATCCTCTCAGACAGATCCAAATTTAAGAAAATGGAATCCGAGAAAGACAAGACGCACGTGATTGAGAAAGCGGTGTCCAAAATATTAAGACGCCTCAAACAATCCGGAAGCATTGACACTAAGACTTTCGAGCGTATCCGCCCCACTGGCACAACAATCCCTCGGCTCTATTGCACATTAGTCTTTTCATGTTGCTTTACGAGCAGGACCAGGGTATGAAGTTGGAAAGCGTTTGCTTAGCCACCAAAACTTCTTCAGCAGTTGCTGCAGGCTCTGGCTCATCAAACGAAGTTTTATTTTCACTTGGTGTCTAATTTTCACGCATAAAAAGGTAAAATAATAAGATAATCGTTTGGCTGTAACACCCTTTCCGTACCTAGCTACCATACCGCACGAAGGTTGTGATACTGCCAGGTTTCCCGAACCTTGACAGGAGCAGTCGAGATGCATAGGTCGGGTTCGAACCACGGACCTTCGGGTCAGTGAATTCACGCTCTAACTACCGAGCCATCTAGCCCCCAATGGCCAGTCGATCGTTGCGAAAACCGCGCACTTCCGTGCAGTAGTTCTCGCTGCCACAGTTTCGTTCGACGATGATTTTGGAATGCGGGTGGATAGCTGCGCATTGGAGGCGGTAGCTGATATAATTGATGCGTTAATACAGGTGGGTCAGTGGACTTTTTTAAATGGAGGGGTTGGGAGGAGAGCTATGAATTGAAGCCAATAGCTTGGATGCACGAACGGCATGTCTGACAATGTTTCTAACCACTGTGTCCCCTCTTCGGATCCCCACGCAAGGAGATGGCAATGACCAGTGCATCTGAGTTTGCTGGTGATGCCTTTCATACTTCGGTGCCAAGTCATTGTTTGACCTTCCCTGTCTCTTCACGTGGTTGCTCGAAAAGAGCCTTCCGAGAAATTCGGTCAACTGGCATACGGAGCCACACCAGTGCAACATGTGGAATGCGATCAGTAAAACTATCGTAGGCGAGTCATTTTTCTGAAAACCATTAGACGTACTTAAGCGTTACCGAGGGCTCGGATACTTCCAGACTGATCAACCTGAGACCGAGGAAGTCGAGACGCAAATGTCGGTTTCGAACCACGGACCTTCCGGTCAGTAAATTCGCGCTCTAACTACCGAGCCATCTAGCCCCCTACGACCAGTCGATCGTATTAGGTGATAAAGGACACGACTGTTTCCGGTAGCAAAGGCCTTCTTCATCTTCCGAGCTTTCGACGTCAGCCAGGTCTCTCGGTCTTTCCTTAGACTCCTCACTGTTTGGCGTTCGAAGAGTTTGCCTGCACTGTCGTACTCCTTGCTTTCCTGTATGGATTTCCTGGCATCAGTCAGGAGTAATGATTTTCTATAGAGGAAAATGTTGGTAGCTCAAGTAGCGTTGGCTTGTTCGCTGAGCTGGGCAATTTAACTGCAAACGTTTCGTCACCAATCGAGGTGACATCATCAGTGCGTTATTGGGGAACGTTGTGATGCGTAGCGGTGGGTTAGTGGTTAGTTAGCACAACCACACTTGATAATTACCGCTTTGTTATACGCACCACTATTGACAGGACGTTCCTCCAAGTGAATTGATCTTATCTCGCAGAACCAATTCCAGTATTTTTCTGCTAAAGGATTTCTCTGGGATGTTTGTCACCTCCTACCTTCATGACGCATTGATATCCGCTAGTGGCTTAGTGTTCTTGTACTGATAGTTTTGGGTTAACCAGCTTTGACGTGCACGGCGTGATGTATCTTAGCCAATAACTCATGACCTTGCAGTACACAATGACTATTCCCTCGATTGTGCCTGACACTGTGGCCTACTTAGTCCGCGTAAAGGATGAACGACTAACAAGTAGCTTAATAAGCCTGTCCTGCAAGCTCGGTGTTTGCAACATTGCAGTACGATCCATACCGCTTCATGGCCAATACGTGCTGAAGGTGTAGTTACTTTCAGTGACTGATAATCTCTATCTCCGAAGATGTGTCCGGTCTTTTTCATGAAGGAAACTACTCACAAGGTTGCTGAAAACTCTTCGACATCCCACGACCGGTTTCGCCCTTTTTGAGGATCATCAGGTAGGCGCAGTCCCCGAGTTTCCGTCAACCTTATGTTCTGCTTGAACCCTAATTGGACTGTTTTCGAGAAATACACCCATGTTCGAATCAATTTGGTTTTCACGAGAGACTCAACTGAATCTCTCGTTTATGACATCCTACAACTGAATGTGCTACACAGAGGCCGACTCATGATTCAGTTGGCACGACATTCGAGATATCGCACTATATTTTCATAAAGGAAGCTATTCACAAGGTTGCTGAAAAATCTCCGACAGTCCACGACCGGTTTTGCCTTTCTTGGGGCTCATCAGGTAGGCGCAGTCCTCGATTTTCTTCAACTTTGTGTTCAACTTGAACCCGATCTGTTTTTTAGGGAAGCACTTCACTTATGTTTGGATAATTAGTCACCCCTCTGGTTAACCAGAGTCAGGAAACGTGCTTCGTATGTCAGAGAACCGTCTACTTTGTAGAGTTGCCTACGCCAAGCCATGTATAGGATGGTGGTGAGTATATAAAGTGTGGGAACGGGGTTAGAAAGCCAGGCCCATTGGCAACTGTCGTTTTCCTGAACGGGAGAAAGTACACCAATGGTCAGTTACATTAGCAAACATAACCTAATCACAGAACCAGTGGCACGCATGCATTAAATTCGGTGCTCCCATACTCAGTTATCCCGACTACCCCACCGCGAGTAAAAATTAACGCATTAGTCCCATGCTCCCGGTGAACTAACCAGCCTATACGGTTTATAGCTGACACAGAACCGGTAAGGTCTCGTTCAACTAATTCTTGGTTTTTACCATTGTCACTTGGTCATTTGGATGCGGGTTACAACTGCAGGTTGTACTCTTGAATGTTCTGTGTTAACAAAGCGAACTGCGGTTTCTATGCTGTAACTACCTATTGCTACTTTCGCTTTTTTTCAGTTTGCAGTCATCTACCGACTTTATTGGATCCCTTATATCTATGACGGGTATAAGGTCCGCTCAGGTGAGTCTCCCGACACAAAGAGTTGTTTTCTGTATGAGATGTCTCATGAAGGAAACATAGGTAAGGATGGTAAGCGTTCCGAAGCACAAAAGTATGGATAAAATAACTTCCCAACGGAACAGCCTCTCCCGAGGGATTTTCTATCAAATCAGGATCGAGTGAGAACGCCATCGTGGGGCATCCGGGTTTGTGGTTTCGAAATAGAAATGAGTCAAACCTTTGGTGATCCTTTTTTGTTGTACCTAGAAAAGAACACCCGTCTTGAGAAACCTTGGCTGCATGTGAGACGAATCAAGCACGACGATTCACAGGCATTCATTTTCCACTAACTCTACTTCAAAGACTCAACACAAAGACTTGAAATAACGCGTCACTTAAGGATGGTGTTTCTTTATCATACGATTGTATGAGTTGCCTTAGGATAATTTAGTCAACTATTACATTGCGCAGACTTCTAACGTATGGACGACAAAACTAGGGAGCAACAATATCCTTCTAAATGGAGGGAGACCTTGTAAGCTCTAGCCGTTAACTCCCTGCTAACACTGAAAGCAATTACTTTGAGTGAACGACCAAATTATCAGTACCACCAACCCTCCAACACGCATAATCAACAACATCAGTTTTCAAATCGGTGCTTCTCTGTCCTGTAACCACAGTGTTCGCCCATATTTTAAAGACCAGAAAGATCAACGAGGACGGATACTTCCTTTATCGTCCAGTTTAGCAAAACTGCGCGCCAAACTAGTGTACACTGGGACTCAGGTAGGTAAGCTAATCTGGAGCTGGGATCTATAGTGTGGGATCACTGACTTGAAGCTCTGAGATCATAACTTCAAGATTTCTATGGACTTGCGATTGAGCAAGTACACGTCAACTGAACTTAGCAACAACGGGTAAACCGAATTTGTGCTGACATGGCCGGCTCGGTGACATGCCATATTTTGACTGATGACTACGGTCGGAACCTCTGGCTGAATTTATGCAAGTTTTACTTGCGGTTAGTTCGAGCCCCCTTTGGCCAGATAGGCATATTCCTTCGAATTTGTCTCGTTATGTTTTCGCTTGGAACTGCTGTGGATATAGCCGCGCCTAACCAAATCGAACGAGAGTCTAATTAAAGTCAATTAAATAGTTACACCGCTAGCGTATTTGCTGCTTCAGTTTATCTACTACTTATAGAGAACATCAGTTCATTGTTCCTCGAATTCTGGTGTTGTTCAAGTCTGGAAATAATCCAATTGAAATTGCCTAGGAATTCACAACAATAATGCACGGTTAACCGACACCAACCACGAAAGTCCTAAGCATCGTTGAAAACATGTATAGGTAAGTCAGTAAAACTTTAGTACGAGTTCAGGACAAAGACGTGTCACGTCCTAATTGTGTATTTATCATAAGTGCAGATTCCTCTCATTCATTCGCGGATTTCGAAGTCATCGGTTTCCATTGTTCTGTTTATACACGTGGAAGTGTAAGAAGGGATGTGTCAGCAGTAGCATGTTTTCGCTTACCAGCGGTTCATATACAACAAGCAGGGGGCGAGATGGCCCAAGCGGTTAGAGCGCGAATGTACTGACTGGAAGGTCCGTGGTTCGAATCCGACCTCCGCCACTCGACTTCCCCTGTCTAGGCTTGGGCAACCTGGCAGTATCCCAGCCCTCGTGCTCCCTTCGGGTGGCATGGCAGCTAGGCACCGGAAGGGTGCTACAGCTGAACGCTTTTCTTTGTACAGCAAGCAAGGTGACCCAGCTGGCTACACCACACGACGGCTGACGTGGCATGAGAGTATTGTTAGTTGTAAGTGTCATGGTTGTTCGCCGGCTGGGATACTGCTAGGGCGCCCTGATTTTGTCAGAAGGATAATTATGGTCCTCGACCGAAGCGTGATCGCAAGGCAGAGGTGAAGCTGCATCCTTTTTAGCACACATTTTCTAACCCCCAACCTGAAGAGCCAGGGGACTACTGGTCAGACCTTTGGTATGAGTGACTGAGTGTCGCACAGACACCACCCAGTATGGCAGAATGGGCCACGGAGGCACACAAATTACCACATCGCGGTACGGTCCGGTCTCTTCGTGACGGTTACAAAGTCCATGAAGCCTGTTAAGCCACGTCAAGCCTCGTGTCATGTTCACCAGGGCCTATATTGTTCTTTCCCATACCGAGAAGTAATCCGTCTTGGCAAAGACCTTGCCACTTTCTAGGTAGACTGCCGAACCAAAGTTCTTGGCTATGGTTCCTTACTTTAGCGTAATGAAGGCGCGTTTGTTTCTCTATGCGCCACTAATATTACGAATCGGTGCTGCTGCTCATGAAGTGAATTCAGTCGAGTGGTCCGAGCATAGCGTCGTGCAGTGTCTATTACACCGCCCCGTCCATAAATAAAGGGAGATCCAATAGCTTTATGTCAACCCTAACCTCTGGTTGATGTTGTCCTCTCGCATCCTTTCGTTCACCCTTTTACCAGTGACATACTTTCCCTTTCTGGGATGGCTCAACGTTTGTACTTGCCATCACTTTATTGCTGCCAAAGGTGGCGAGGAAAATAAGGCTCTTTCTGTAATGCATATTCACAAGACTTTTCGTGGTGCGATTCATCTCTGTTTCAACATACTTTCAATATCTGTTTTCCAGGACACATCCACTAGGTTTCCCAGTGCGAAGCGTTCCAGTATCCTGAGCGTATTGCGTAGACCAACCCTCCTACATGTCCGAGAACCTTACATCATAGATTCGCCAGCCTCTGATGAGTCGGATTTGCAAATCTCTTTGACTGTTCCTGAACGCATATCGCCCTCAAAACAGCCCGTCGAACTGCATGACGAAGAGCGCAAGTCATCGATTGTTCTGAGTAAGGGCTTCGCCGAAACCATTAAAGAAGAAAGCGAAGAGGATCTGGAGTCGTACACACAATTGGATAACGGTTCCAGCGCGAAACCATCACAGTCATCACAGGAATCAGCTACACCTACCAACAGCTTCGTTTCTCCTGGTGCTGGTCAGTCGGGGGTCCAGTGAACAAAAATAGTCGCTGGAATTGAAATTCCGGTCGGATGAAATGAATTAGATCTTCAGATTTATAACTAGGAGTTCACTGGTGAGTTCCACTGGTTAGACTCTTCGGAACGTCACAACTGTACTCGCTTGGCACACCGATGCTGTCGAAAATTGATTGGACTGTTTAGTGTACCGCCTGTGCCCAGCCGTCTCTCGACAATATGACTATTGTTTCTTCAGTGGTCAGTGCATAATAGTCAGACGATAAAACGAACATCAAACTGTCACTACGGGTCATGTGGATTCTGATGGTGGTCACAAATTTGTTGCAAGGTTGTTCAGTTGGCTATTTTTATTGCTTTCCTCAGTTCAAAACACTAGGGCGAGAGGGCTCAAGTGGTTAGAGCGCGGAAGGTCCGTGGTTCGAATCTCACCTCTGCCTCTCGTCTTCCCCTGTCTAGGCTTGGGCAACCTGGCAGTATCCCAGTCCTCGTGCTTCCTTCGGGTGGCAGTTAGGCACCGAAAGGGTGCTATAGATGGGCGATTTTTTATTTTTCAAAGCACTTCAAAAGGAGTGTTCAATCCCTGAGGTTTATCATCTAACTAGTCTGCTCTTTTGCGCGACAAACCGAAAAAAAACCATGTGGATCCTGAACTTGACAAATTTCTTTATACATACGAAACAACCACCCATGTTTTTCCCTCTTAGGTTCGTTGTACGTGGCTTTTTTTTGCAGAATAATATCTTGGTTCATGTTCATATTGTCTACATACACGGGTAGGTAAAGCTTCACTGATATGTACATTCAGCTCCACTCACTACTTTCTTCGAGTAACAGTAAAATGCTGCGCACACGACAGAATATTGCCCAAAAAACTTGAGAAGTGGGCTGATTGATTCACCTGTGTGCACAGCTGTACTAATAACAATAACGTCGCACTTCCTGACTCCTGTGGAACACTGATCGGACTCGGCTGTATTTCGCAATGGGGAAGGAAGGAACTACACAAAATCAAGCGATTCAACGAGATCTTATGCAACTGTTGTATCTGCTGGAAGGGTGTATATTCTTGTACAATGAGAATAGAATTGAAACAAACAGAGCCGATTACCTGTCAGATTGGTGTTTCGTCTTTTCGGACGTTGATGCCCTTCCTATCATGTGTGCACGTCTTTGGGTTATACTGTTCACCAGCTGCGCCAATACGACCCATAGCCTTCTAGCAAATCTGAAAGTGCGTGGTAGCACAAATTCGGCGTCTAACAGGTTTTTTCGTATTTCACCTAGAAAACTCGAAATATACAAGCAGGATCGCGTTGTAATCGTTGTATTCAAAGTACACTGTAAGCCCATCTTTTTTTTACAGGAACCATTTCTCCTTGTGTTTGTTGTGGTAACTCTGTCACACTCTGTTTCTGAAACTAGGACACTTTGCTTCAGTGTTATCTGGTTGCTTCCTTACTTAGGGAATTTTATACTGAGAGGATATGATTTATTATTACCTGGGAGTACCACTTATTACCACTTGCGCACCACCGAGGTCACGCATCGACTGGCTGCACTTCATCTCTAAGCCCAAGAACCTTACCCAATATGCTTTCAACCTTCAACTTATTCCATTCTGTTCTTCTACTCCATCTATCTACGGCCCAAATTGTAGTGCTGAAGCATTTTGTTCATTCGCACATGACATTCGGACATGTTGGCGATCTACTGGAGATGGAGCGTTTGCAACTCAATTTCCATGTTCATCTACTGAAAACTGGTCACTTGATGGGGAAACGCAGTCTCTAGCAAGCAGGCAAATCATCATCATCGTTGTCAGCTGTAATAGCCACGAGCTTGCCGTACAGTGGTTGTAGCTGCCACAGTTTCGTTCACCGATGAGTTGGGAAGGTGGGGTAGGTAGCTCCGCATCGGAGGCCGAAGGTGATAAATCAGTGCGTAAATACAGCACTGCCAGTGGACTGTTGAGTCGGGAGGCAAAACACATTTGGATAATGAAAATTACGTGACTCGATGTTGTTGTTTTTGTCAATGGGTCGGCAACTCTCGTGAACTGTTGATTCTGTTGACTTCGGGAACATTGGCTTTGCTTTCATAGATTTGTAAAATCGAAGGACTGACATCGGCTCCAATTCACATCTGTAATGATAGTACTGATTTGGGACACAATTAGGAAAGCCGGTTTCTGGTTTTACACAAACAGTAAGTGTTCAACGGTCGCTTTTGTTTTACATGCTCCATCATTCAATAAAATATTCCGGGTTTATTGTCCCGCACTGTTTTTCTAGCTTGTAACTCACGTTTCTCTTTTCTTTGTTTCCCCAGGTGAATCAGTACAGAAGTTACTTCCCTAAACATCCTATACTGATGTATCAAATGACACCTTGTGATTTATATGGACTTGTATCTCTCTCAGCTAATAGGCAAACGCTACCGGGCAAACTTCATTCCCAATGACTCCTTGCATTTCCTTCTTCCTCTCTACGCTTGATGATTATGTTTTAAAATACCTTTCACTTTGCTATATCTCCACCAGCACATGCGGCCTATTTGTATCTCTTGCGTTATCTTGTTCAAGATATGGACGATTGATTGCCTTCAGCAGCGTTTCATCTGACGGAATTTGGATATCGGCTGAATTAAGTAGTACACTAACCGGACCTGTAGGTTCTCACTAACACCGAATCCGAATGGTGAAACCCGAATGCAGGCTCCACGACGATTGATTTGATTGCCCAAGGAACGGCTAGCGAGAAGCTGGATTTGTGGTGACCGAAACCATGTGCGTTATCTAGCTAACAATGCCACTGTAAGCAACCAAGTCTGCAGATAACTTTGGAAACTGACACTCAGAACACACACTGTTTGGTTGGGTCAAAGGAGAGGGCATGCATAGTACATCACCCAGTCGACTTGTGCCAGCAAGGCCAACCTTATGGACAGCGAAAACTAGTGCGGCTGCTAAAATGTATGGATTGAAGGGTCCTGTTTATGAGACAGCTCGGTTGACCAATGGAATATAACCTTGCTTACAGGAAGCACTTATGTTGTACAGGATAGGTGTACATGAGAACCACCGGATCCTCCTTACGGTGGAGCAAACAACGCCATGATATGAGTACTTGTGTTTGCCTTCTTCATTCATTCATGTACATCCGGCGTCGCAGTGCATAAGTTCTATAGGCGCCCTTCACTCCTAAATCACCTTTTTGGTGACTCACATCGAGTTAGCTTTTCCGTGTCGGAACGATTTTAGATGGTAAAATTTGAGGACAAGCTGTGCAGCTGACGCCAACTACATACGAGACAGTAGTTTGATCAGCTGTTGAATTGGAGTTCAATATTCGACCGGTTTCTGACCAGTGTGCCTCAGTTGCTGAGATTTTCCTTGTTCTTTGGCTGGGTCCGGATGAGGTGACAGTGTTGATCCAGTCGAACTTCTGAACTTGATATGAAGGTGCTTGTTACGCTGATTAAAATAAAGGGCAAACTCTGCGATAGCAATCAAATTGAAGAAAGAAGTATGCTAAAATATGGAACCTAGATTCCGACGAAAACACATACAATATGAAGTAGAACCTCGTGGTAGTGCTTGTAAGCTTTAAATAATTTTGATGTGTAAATGGACTTGAAAAAAGTCATTCAGCTGTAGCACCCTTCCGGTGCCTAACTGCCATGCCACCCGAAGGCTGCACGAGGGCTGGGATACTGTCAGTTTGCCCAAGCCTAGACAGGGGAAGTCGAGAGGCAGAGGTCGGATTCGAACCACGGACATTTCGGTCAGTAAGTCTGCGCTCTAACCACTTGAGCCATCTCGCCCCTTGGTTTGAACACAACTCTCCTTAACCGTCTATCACCTATTTCGACATTGTGCGGGCACTTTCTAGGGGCACAATTTTGCCAGTGCCGCGGTTTGAACAAAACTCTCCTTAACCGTCTATCATCTATTTCGACATTGTGCGGGCACTTTTTCTAGGGGCACAATTTTGCCAGTGCCGCAACTGTGTGATTTCGAACAGAATAGTTGAATTTTCAGTGCCCCATAGTCATCCTCAGCTGGCCTAGTCATACAGTGTCATATACATCAATATCGAGCTTTTCTATAGCAGTCTTTGGCTATTCTGAGGTAGCGATGCCCTGCGTGCGACAATCATATTGCTCGAATAACATTTGAGCACCCTAAGTTGTGCGAAAAACAGACTCAAGCACCAACGTTTTCACTGGAGGGTACCTACTTTGTGCACAATTGTGAACAATTTTTGTATGGGTGGCGCTCAGGTATACTAAACACGCATAAAGTTGCTAGATTTTCAAACATGCTTGATCTTCCGTTCAAAACATTCATAGACCGGTTTCGTTCGTCCATTAATGGCTTTGTACAAAGCTCACTTGGTTTAGCTTGGACCATCACGGTTGCCTGAAGAACTAAGTTAGGGCGCTTTGGAATGTGCGCTTGAAAGACCCAGTAATTGACGACGTGGTGTAAGCTTCACATAGACGTTGTCCGTACATGAATATCAAAATACCTTTTGGGACTGTAAACTGTACGGGACGCGTAAATTGATATTCCTCGTCCAATCAGCCAAAACACAGCGATCCTCTGTCCGTGTGAATCGTTCCGAACCCTCAATCAACTTGTCGGTCTCAGTTCTCGCTGCTACCACACGTTGCAACGCTGCTCACTGTGGCCGAACCGTTGACACCGCCTGACGATTGCTGTTGGTAGTGGCATTAAGTATCTCGTATCGTCCAATCACCAAAACACAGCGATCCTCTGTCCGTGTGAATCGTTCCGAACCCTCAATCAACTTGTCGGTCTCAGTTCTCGCTGCTACCACACGTTGCAACGCTGTTCACTGTGGCCGAACCGTTGACACCGCCTGACGATTGCTGTTGGTAGTGGCATTAAGTATCTCGTATCCAGGGTTCGTAACTTAGGCCAAATAGAGTATTCCTACACTGTGCGATGTATTGGCCAAAGATATCAGTGGCAGTTCACACCACAGGCGACATTCAGGAGAGCTCATCCGCCGCACCACAAAATGAAGTCCTACTCTGACCACCAAACATTTTAGCTGTTGTAACTCACCATACCGCAACAGTACAGTGTGGAATATTTGTCCATCAGCACCAGTTCTACGGTACGTCCTGATTCTGAGACGAGTGAAAAACCCTTTCACAATGCGCGGTCGATAAAGCTGACAATATGTTCAAAAATACGACTGTGGCTGCACACTTTCAGCGACCCTTGTGAACGATTGATTGGTTTCTGATTGGCCGTCGGAGCCTTCTCGTGCTCCCAGTCATTTAAAGAGTGAGCAGACGCTGATCGCGAAAACCTAGGCGGCGTGTTGTGAAACACACCGTGTTAACTCTGGTGATCTAACAGTCTCCCTGAATGAAACTACTCACAAGGTTGCTGAAAACTGTTCGACAGCCCACTTGCTGAAAACTTCAACAGCCACCTTGTGAGTAGTTTCCTCTATGAAAATATACTGCGATATGGTCGTTGGCTTGTTCGCTGAGCTGGGCAGTTTGGTTGCAAACGTTTCATCACCAATCGAGGTGACATCATCAGTGCGTAGTTGTGCGTAGCGGTGGGTGGTAGCGGTGCACAACCACTAACCTACCGCTACGCGCTGATGATGTCACCTCGATTGGTGATGAAACGTTTGCAACCAAACTGCCCAGCTCAGCGAACA